TAAATTTGGGTAGAGAGAGAGAGAGAGAGAATTCTTACAGAGAGAGGAGAGAATAAGTATGTCATTTTATGAAGGGAGAGATTTTCTAATGCCTTGAGGTTTGCCTCAATTCGTAAGGTTAAATCTTGACTATCGATCTAAAGAGATTTGTTGGGTGAGAGATTTGAGTCATTCATCTGTTTGATCCACCATCAAGATTCAAAGATATGAGTTAGAGCCTTATCTTTTATTTTCTAGATCTATTCCCATCAAATCTTTAAATAAAAAAAGTATATATCTTATTTTCTATTTTAATGTATCAAATCTTTATTTATTGGATCAAGCAATCTTAATTTAAAGATTTATTAAATTATTTCAAATATTCAACATTATCATGGAAGTTGGCTATCCCTAAAAGATAAGTCAACAATCAAGGGATAAACATTCTTCCCAATAAGAATATGTGATTAGGTGAGGCGTGCCACCCTTTTGGTGGCCACCCCACCTAATCCACATGTTTTTAAATTTTGGACCCCATATTTTATGGAGGTCCCATACGTTTTTAGAAAATATTTTATTTCATATTTAGAATTTTAAATGTTATATTTTATTTAAAACATTGAAAAATTAATTTATAAATCCAAATGACAAAAATGAAGTATCATAAGATTCACAAAAATTCAAATAGATGTTCTAAAAAATCATATATCATAAATTTAACTTTTATGGGAATCGGATCTGTTAGATCTATGAATTTATCAATATACGGGAGCACTCCACTTTCAGCTGCAGACCACGATTCACCTAGTTTTCTCAAACTGACCCAAAAGTTCTCATGACCCACGTCTACTGCAGGGGCTCATGATTGGACCTCCAAAGTCAGTCAATAGACTAGGGGACCCAATCCCAGTTTATGGATTTCAGGTTCTCTCCTACTAATCATGATGCTACTGTGACTCTATGATGCATAGGGGTAATCTCTCGCACATGTACACGCTTTACCCTCATTGGCGAATCTTAAAACGGCTATCTATGTACATGTAATGTGTTGATATAACGATGAGGTTTTAGCCCTGTCTCTAAAGGCTATTCATCACAAGCAAGAGCCACAGTCCCTTGGCTCTCATCTGGGCATACTCCGACCTTATCAAGGGCTAACCCACTAAAATTTTATCGGTAGATCCCAATGCCCAGGTACCTTGGGTTTTTTCAAACTCGGCTGGCCTAGCGCGTCGAACCTAGTTCGAATATCGGCAAATCGTATTTGCCTAGTATGGTCCACAAGAGGACCACACTCCCACTGAGTTTATATTGCACTATATAAAATGCTCACGCAAGCTCTCATGAAGCCTTTAAAGGCGACATAAATCCAACAATACCTTCAAACCTTCAAATAGTATCAAGAAATGTGGTTTCAATATTGAAAATCTTTGTGATAGCCTTAAAATATATTTTTTTCTCTGATTATAGAATTTAAAGCTTCAAAAATAGTGTAGATCGAATAGATCTATGAAAACTTGAAAATCTTGAAAGTTGATGGTTCAAAAATGCATTACATGATGTACTATTTCCAAAACTTGAAATTCATTTTTTCTCATGTCCATGCATCTTGATGTGGAGATGATCAATAAAGATATTTGGACATCAAAACAACCTTTCTTAGTGAAAATTTTTTAGGTGCACTCTAATTTGATTGATTAGAGCCTCGCCTCCCTATAAACTTTTTGCTTTCAAACAACTTGCGGGCGGCAATTGTAGGCAGAGCATAATAGCAGCCTGTACCCAGAACAAACTGCATTGTACATCAATATACATAGGCAGTGTAGCCCCCTCAAATCCTAGAGAGAGAATACGTTACAACCCATTGTTAGAAAGAGAAAATGAGTGGGTTTCAGCCCGCTTTTAGAGGGAGAAAGATATGGGGTTGCAAACTTGCAACCCACCATTGGAGAGGACAGAGAACAAGGGACGTGGCTTGGAGATCACCCACATCCCTTTGTTAGTATCCCTTCTGTCACCCTAAAACCTCTTTATAAATCGCCGAGTAGTTGACAAATCGGCTGAGTAGATTATATTTACTCGGCTGAGTTACTTGGGCTCGGGCTATTTGGAGCCCAAGATGTCCCGAGTTGGACACCCAACTCGGGCATATTAAATAAATTCAAAAAAATAATAAAAAATCTGAAAACAAATAAGTAATTTATTTGAGATATTTTTTTTATATGTTTTCTATCATTTTGGCGAAGATGAGAAAGTGTTTTGGCCATAAATACTTATTTTTACATTTTTTGGATTATTTTAAGAATACCCCTATTATTTCGAAAATCTTTTTTTTTTTTTACTATTTTTTAACTTCATGAGTGTTTGTTTAATCTTACTTTAAACATATATTTTCCTCTTTTTAATTCTTTTATAATTTTTGTCCTTTTTTTGTTTGCTACATAACTTGGCACTAATTGGGCCAAGTTACTCCGATTTGGCCCGAATAATCGGCTCAGGTCAAGACCAATTACTTGGTCCAAGTTGCACCTTCTAACACCGCTTTTATAGGATAATGGATATTGGTATAAGTAAAACTAATATAGGAACCAGGCTTGCTTTTAAGTGGTTAGCAGTTTACTTTAGCAAAGCTATATCTCAATGATACCTACCACTGAACTACTCAAAAAAATAAATAAATAAAAGAAAAGAAAAGAAGAAGAAGAAAGAAAAAAAAAGAAAGAGAAAGAAGGAAAATGGATGTTTATACGTGACTATTAAACTTTTCGTTTAACTTTCTTTAAAAGGATGTCGGTCGAATATTCAAATAAAAAATAAGTGACTATTGATATCCGTTAACTATTCATTTATATCACTGAAAAAAGAGCTTATAATAATCTAAGATATAAAAACAAGTCCAAAATTGAGCATACAACAATATTGCATAAAAAATGTGTTTAACGAAAAGATAATAAAAAACACTAGCATATTATCCGATTAAAGAAAAATGACATAATTTGCATAAAAAATAAGGAAATTATCAGAAATATGCCTAAGTTTTAGCCTAATTAGAAAAAACAAAAAAAACAAAATTTCATGAAGCACATCCATAACCTTTTCCTTCAATTTTGCCTTTTTTTTTTTGACAAAAATAACCTTTACGGTCCTATGCATCACATTACAGTACATTAAGTACAGTTATTCCTAAAAAATCTTATACGACACTTGGAATGCTGTGAGAAGCCAAGACCAGCAGCGTGAAAGGCGAGTGAGATTGAAGGAGAATTTGAGCTCAATCTAATATATAGAAAAGAAAATTAGAAAATTATACATGGACCAAGGCCTAATCCATTCTGGTGTACACATTTTCTAAACAGCACGAAACATAAGTACTTGTGCTCCTTAAGGCCAGGCGGACCAACTAGTCTCCTTGTAGTCTAGTCTACCACTAATCACAAACCAGACCAAAACCCTTTTTGTTTTAAAAAATATTCTATGTATCCCATTTAATCATTGTAATTATCAAAATCCCCCTCAAATTTTAAATATTATGTACATATCCCTTATCTAGTCCAATTTTTTATTCTCATTTTGCCCTTAACTTCGGATGTTATTTCAATATCTGAATTCACTAGGTTACCTTAATAAGACATTGGATTGCCTTAGGACTATCTTATGACTTTGGACAGAACTTTGTGTCTTTAGATTTTCAACATCCGAAGGGATAGCAAAATAGAAATAAAAAAAATTGGACCACAAAAACGATATCTGCAAAATAGAATTAAAAAAAAAATTGGATTAGAAAAGAGATGTGCCCAAAATATTTAAAATTTAAGGGAGATTTTAGTAATTACAGTAAATAATATATGAGTAATTTTCTGTCTCTATTTTTTTTTACTTTCCGGTGGTTGGCGGCAGGGTTCTATAGCAGTTTGTGGCATTTCTCACACAAATGCAATTAAAAAACAGGAATGTAACAAACATAATATCACTAAAGCGTTCCGCACTAGTATTTATTAAAGCTACTAGAAGTCATGTTTAATGATCTAATCCAAACTGGACTTAAAATTTCATATCCTGCAGTAGTATTTATGAAAGCTACTAGAAGTCATGTTTAATGATCTAATCCAAACTGGACCTAAAATTTCATATCCTGGCTTTTAGGCTTTAATAGTGTTGTAAACAAACATAAAAGATGTGTCCCAAACTGTGTACATCAAAAAACCAGTTTCTTGTAGAGAGATATTCTTTCATCACACGCACTGCATGGTTCAATACCATTATTAGCTTACTTGAGAGAGAAGAAAATAAAATTTATGAAAGTATATCAGTTTGATTGAAAAATCTAACCGACTAGTAAGCTAAACTTCAAGTATAGATTTCATTTTTCCAACATCACCATCATCATCATAGTCTTTTCCCAACTATTTAAGATTGGCTTTATGAATTTTGATTCATCATTCTACTCTATCAAGGAATATAGCCTCTCAGGCCATAAGTTTCCATATCTTTCCGTAATATTTTTAATTATTGTTATCTTTTACGCATACGCTCTACTTGAACCAACTTGCACCTCCTAATAGGTGAAATTTCACCAAATAATAGGCAACAAAGTGCCACAGTCATTTTTCCAGCAAAATATAGATGTTGCCTTCTCAATAAACTTCCCCCAAATATTAGTTGCAAATTTTTCTTTCATTTGACAAGGATCCAATATATCTTTCACGATATACAGTTAACATAAGAACAAAGTTTTTTTTTTATATGAAAATGTTTAGGATGTTAAGCATTTGCAAATACGTATACTTATAGAAACACATTGCTGCTCACCCTTTCAAATAAGGGGGGGTTTATATTCACAGAAAGAAATAAAGAATCTTTAGGAAAGTATAAGTTGTTCATCACATAAGAATGTGGAAATATCAAGTTATTCATCACATAAGAATGTCCCAACAGCTAAAAGGGAGACAACAGTGCCGATTCAGTAATTGATCACGTCTTATTTGGCTGTTCCAACAGCTGAAAGGGAGACCACAGTGCTGATGCAGTAATTGATCACGTCGTATTTGGCTGTTCAAACTGAGCCCTACAAAGACATCACCAAAAGAAACAAGATTAAGGGGAAAGAAAGAGTTCACCCCCTTTCCAGGTTCAAAAAAAACATTAATCACAATAACAAAGGCGATACGAACAAGCAAATGCATTTTTATATTAAATAGAAGGGTGTAGATCATGACCTTAGCTCACTGCCCATCTTGTCAATTTCATATCTGTGTCCAGAAAAACATTAATCACAATAACGAAGGCGATACAAACAAGCAAATGCATTTTTATATGAGTACATTTGAATAGAAGGGTGTAGATCTTGACCTTAGCACACTGCCCATTTTTTCTATATCACTTCGGAGTTTTTCTGTTTCATGCTGAAGCAAAGAAAAATGGTTCTCCTACATGCCCCAATAGTCCAAATTAACCATAAAAACATCATTAAATCATAGCCATGTAAAAACGATATAACTAAGAATAAACTACAAAGGGCAGACAAAACCAAGCACCACCTCACTGCAGAATGAGGTGACCTATACAGGACAGTCAAGAAAACCCAAATTGTCCTAATGTAACACAGACAGCATGGAGCTTTATGCCATGGTTCCATAGCTTTACCTGCATCTAAATGATTAAATAGAATATCTCTAAATTAAGAAATGATTCCACAAATCCATATTTCATAAAGAGTCATTCCCAAGAAATATCAATTGAGATGTGATTTTGTTAATGAGGCACAAAAAATTGATGGCTTTGGAAACAGATACATCCATTAATTGGTCTTCTTTTTCTTCTGATAAATCATCCATTAATTGGTTTTCTAGACATGGAAAATTACACAAGCACCAATTATCATGATGGGAAGAAAAATGAAGTACAAAATGAAAGCAGGGAGGAAGCAAGTGTAAACTAATAGATAATCAAAGACTTTGAGGCAATTATAAACACCAATATAGCCAAAGTTGTGCAGAAAACCCAAAGCAAGAGAGATTTGCCTTGCTTAGAAATCCAAGACCATGATTTCTTAGGGAGGAAAAAATAAAGTAGCATATAAATCAAAACTTTATACATTGTGTTATATTGTAAACATTTTTTAAAGTTTGTACAAATAAAAACAACATGGGCATCTTTGGATGTACTCGTTATCACTAATAATTCGCTATTTAATAAAATAAATCCTAGTAATGAATTATCTACTATTTTGCAATGTCCTTCATAAAATTATCTGATAAAATGTATAGGAAGTTTTACATATAAGTTTTATCCTCTTGAAAAACAGTTTTTATTTTATTCAAAATAATTTGCTGAAAATGATTTGTTTTTAGCCATAAATAACTTAATATACTTGAAAGTCAACAAAAAGGTTAAATAATTAAATACTATTATATGTCATACAAGGTATATATCAAACAGCTAACAAAACATTATTATGCAGGGTATATTTATTTCAGATAAGACTCTACTCCTGATGAGATTAATTTTCATCCAAACAGGCCACTCACATATCATGTACGTGATGTAGATGTAAACATGAAAAAGACATTTATGATACACTACCTGAACATATCATCTTATATTATACCACACACGCCAACCACAGGCACATAAAGCCTGCACACACTCATTGCATTCCACATGTAGAAAATAGTTAGGTGTACCCTATGTTCCAAGAATCCATGTCTCGATCAGTTTTGAAGAATCTGAATCACGAACCTATATTTTGCCAATTCCAGCACAACATCAAGTTTATAAGGCCTATGTGTCTGTATATATTTGCCTATAAAATTTATGTGACATTTAGTAATAAAATTAACTAAAAAAATAAAAGAAAGAATATATATTACCCCTTTTATAATTACAATCCCAAAATAAACCCTGGAGTATATGAAAAGCCCATAGAATTCCTCCAAGATAAAAGAAAGAGACATTTAAACCATCACCCCCCACCCCCAAAAACAAAATAAAATAAAATAAAATAATGCTTATCCTTATTAATATCAAAATTACAACATGTACCCATTATCTTAGGTCTACTAATCCCAATATACAAATGAAATTTGGGATGCTATGTCTAACTTACTTGAAGGTTCACGAGATGAGAGAAAGAGAGATGTTCACAAGTGTGAGTGAGAGAGAGAGGGAGTTTTTCTAAGATTGGTTGACAACGTCATCGTCATCATCATCTAAGCTTTATCTTAGCTATTTGGGGTTGGCTGCATGAATTTTAGTTCCACCATTTCGCTCTATCAAGGGCCATACCCACAATCAGATTATAAGTCACCATGGCTCTTCTCACTATTTCCATCCATGTCCTTTTGGATCTTCCACTTGAACCAAATCACCATTTCTAACTGGTACTACTCTAGGTAGATGCGGCATAGTTTGGTTGACAAGGTGATTGGAGAAAATAAAAATAGTAAACAATAAAAAAGGTACATTGGGGGCTATGTGTCCTTTTCTTTTAACTTGGAGGGGATCCAAGGGCTCTCTATAGACATGAGGATTTATTGGGGATTATAACTATAGATAGGGGGTATATATATTTTTCCCAATAAAACATGTGGCTCCAAATCAAAGACACGCGTATCCAAATCATAGGGGACTCTTGTGCCCACATGTCTCCCAACATGGAGATGTCTCTTACAATGTGGAAACAAGTGCAATATATCACAGACACACGTGTCTTGTTTGTTCAATCTACAATGTGTCCATATAGCAAAACCATGTATGTGTGTTGACATGGCTTTCCTGTGTCTATACGTGTATCCTATGTGTCGATACATGTATCTAGTGTGTTGGCATATCGGATTCTCCTAAAAGCACTTGACACGTGCGGTTGTCACATAGGGTGTACTGCACATTCCATGCATTCAAAATGCAAGGGGGGAGATGAACCGTTTCTCTTCTTGATCAGCTAATTGCAGTGGCACTGTTCATCTCCACTTGTCTATCATTGAGAACCAACGATGTCGAGTCGCAACTAACATATATACAGATAAAATAACCTGTACTGAATGGAATCATTTCCCAAGACATCTAGCATACAGATGGGATGCTGGGTAGCAACGTAGCATGTATCAAACATTTTGAACTTCAAAATTTCGAGTACAACATAATCCCAAGTGCAAGTGACTTTTGATCAGGAATATTTTATAAAATTAGGCAAGGAAACTTTAAGATGCCCCCATACAATGGGAGTATCATGGAGGGTTACACAACATTAGATGTGTTTATCAGCATTAATAAGCATTAAATGTAAAATAGCATATCTGGCAGAACCAAAATATTAAATTTCTTCATGGTTTTTAGAAGCTTTCCATCAGAAAATTACATAGAATCCCCCCAACCAAAGGCCACTTGCGTCGGTTTCCAGTGTCGAAATGTGTTGGTGTAGTTTAAGTTACTGCACCTACCAGGGATAATCATCACATGCCTATGTCTATACTCCAATATAAGACCGAGATCGTGCAAAAACAATACACATGAATCGTGAGTGCAACAATATAAACATCCCACTGTCAGATAGAAAAGAAAAAGTTAAATGTTTAGGAAAGAGAAATCAAAAGATGATACAAATGTTACGAACTGAAGTCTCGTAGCAGTAGATCCTCTACGATTTTCCCCCAGGGGACAAGTGTCTCATGCTTGAAGTGAGAAAAGTAGGGGTGAGAATTGGCCTGATCTTGATCCGGAACGCGGATTTAGGATCTTATTTGGATCTATATCTGAAATTTAGATCCAGATCAAAAAATTAGATCCGAATTAAAATTCGGATCCGATCCAGGTGGATCCGATCCGGATCCAACCCGGTTTTTTTAAATAATAAATTTTTATTTTACATATATAAATTTTTAAAATAGTATAAAATCTGGATCTAGATCAGGACAAAATAAACTATTCAGAACTGGATCCGAATCTAAATATCCATGATCCAATTTGAACCTGAATCCAACATATACTATTCGGATCTGGATCCAGATGTGGTCAGATCTTGACCCGATCTAATCCGTTCTCACCCCTAGAGAAAAGCATCATCACCTAGGCATGAGAACCCACGACAAGTTGAGCACCTCATTGTATGCTTGGTGAAGCCCTCATTGTTTGGGATGAATATAGAGGCTTTAAATCACCCAAAATCTCTATTGTATACAACCTTGATATTTAAAGTTTTTAGCTTTACTGATCTTCAAATTGCAAAAATATGGATATTTTGGGTTCTATATTAAAAAATAAAATAAAAATAAAAAAAAAGCTAAAGAGCAATATTTTTGAGAGGGAAGGGGTTGCGGTTGCAATACCTCCCTCAACGTTTTCCCAAGAGAGACCAAATGCTCATGGTCCGAGAGCATTTTTTGCCCCAAGGCCATGCAGAGCCCAAGGCAGGCGCCTCAACTAAGGCACTAGGTGCTAGGCCAAAGTTAGTCGCATTGCCTAGGTGAGGTGCCTAGGGACCCACCCCACCTCAAGGGCCCAACCCAGACGCTTTTTAATAGAATGGAGATCAATGCATTGTTGGGTCCTTCAAGGGGCTGGCTACAAGCATGATATTCTATGAAGGTTTTTATGGTGGATGAGGGCCTCATATGACGGCTAAGGGTGTGGTGCAAAGAAGTTGGTCGGGGTCTTCAGTTTAGATGCTAAATCTTTTTGCAAGCCATATGAAGCTAGGATGCGGCCAATGCCTACTTCGCATGATGTGTGATCCAACAAGGTATGAATGTATACGAAAGGTTAGAGTCTTTTACGATAAAGTTTTTTAGTCATAGAAAGCCATTTGCAATATGTATGGTGATAATGAACAGTGCAAGTGAAGTAGCCTTACTCTAGCGATACAAAAGAATATGCCTTTACGTTGAAACCTAAAACAAAAACAACTTAGCATGTGGGCCACTCTCAAAGCAAGAAGCAAACAACCTGATCCTAAGGTCATGTAACATAAAATATTGCCATGTAAAGAGAAATATAACATTTGCATTTTCTCCCTCTCCAATACATGAAGATGCTTTGAATAAATGCTTTGAATATCTAAAAATATAAAGATGCTTTGAATAAATGATTCCACACTCTGTTTTAAGACCCGGAAATTAATTTTGGATTGCCCAACAACCTGATAATCTCGCTAAGCCAGATTGGCAATCTAGATTGGCCGGCAGGTGGAAAATTAATTAAAAAATAAAAATAAAACCAAGGAGATTTAGGGATACTGACTTGGATTGCACTCTTATTGAATCTTTATCTAAAGTGACAAATCACAATGCAGATCACAAAGTTCTAAAGTATTGATTTTATAAGAGGGAAAAAAAAGTCTCTAATTCTCTCACCAGAAAGGTAGGAGCCCAAATTCCCACTGACTTACTCTTTTAAAAAGTCAACTTTTTATTATTAAAATATCCTTATTTTA